TTGCGGGCCGCAACGGCGCACGCTTCTGGCCTCTTCCGGGAGTCCCACTTAGGATGCAGGCCGCAGCGGTGCACGCGGTGGGGCGGTCTCTTCTGGCCATTTGGGCGCACTGAGCTTGCGGGCCGCAACGGCGCACGCGATGGGGTGGCCTCTTCTGGCTTTTTCTGGCTTCGTGTGGGGGGCCACTTAGGTTGCCCAACGCAGTGGCGCACGCGGTGGTGGGGCTGGGCCTCCGTTTCGACGCTCTCGCTGTCCAAGATGATCATGATGATGCTGATGGGGATGATGGTGCTTCCCTTCTTCTGACCTTTTCTGCCCTCGTTTGCCTTCTTCTGGCCCTCCTCACTGTTTGGGGTCTATGCCGGCATAATATATAGTATATAGTAGAAGATAGTAGTTAGTTATAACACTATATACAAGATGTAATATAATCTGTATTATATATGAGCTAGAACATGGAACATCAAATATAGAGCATAGAAGATGTAATATAGAATGTATAGTATATAGTTTATGTTTTATTATACATGGTTTCAAGTTTCTAACATACCATATATTATGCATAGCATATAAGATAAATATATTACATAAGTTATGTGTATATATATATATAGATAGCATAAATTAGCATTACAAAATTAACAATCTCGTCCCAAATGACAAGTTAAGTAGACTAGAACAACGTAGTTGTTAGGATCTCTGACTCGGGTGCTTGGACGACTATTTGGCTCAAGGAAAAGAGACGTCATCTTGCAAGTTTTCCTTGTTTAAGTGCATCCGTTGTACTTAGTTGGTTAACAGCCTCTTGCTACGTGGTCACTTTGGTAGGACAGCTAGGCAAAGCCTCTCGCCGCCAAAGTGTCCCTCCATATTTCCATATCCGCACACCTGGTTAGAGGTCGTGCTTGAATTTGCAACACACGTGCCCCAGGCCCTGCCTCATTCATAACCTGCACTGATTTAGCACAGGGCCAGAGCCAGTCTCGACATCCTTTCACCTTCCGTGCCTGGCACCGATGGCTTGTTCCACGTGACACTCCATATTTCGAACTCCCCGCCTGTGTATGCAAACAACCGAATCTGAGGAACACCCCTCTGCGACACTTCGTTGGGTGTACTTTGATCTGAAGCAGGAGTATTGCTCATCCTGCTGCCCCTGCCTGTGGTCTAGAGTTGTAGCCAGAAACGAGAAAAGGCTATGTCTCATCAGGTGGGAACGGCTTCTGCAGAAGGTTCTGATACGGTGGTTCTGCTTTGGGGCTGATTTTCTTCAACTACGCAGATTACGGTATCGATACTTCCGCCGTAGCAATGGTTTGTGGAAGATCGCATTGTTCCACGGTGCTATCCCTGGCCGGGTACCTTTGCTGCGTGCATCTCCGCCGCCGAGCGTCGACGTGCACTCAGGAAAAATTAAACCCAGCCAACATCAGGATGGATTTCCCCCACCGAAAACCCACGCCTCCTCAAACACATCCGGTAAAAGGGGGTCACTTGCATCTCTCAGAGGCTGGCTTTGGCCTACCATCTTTATAAAACGGCACTCCCAAGGAAGCCGCTACGAGCAGGCTTCGTGTGTTCATGGTCCTCGCCTGGTTGAACGGACCTGCAAGATCAAGAGTGAGAGTCAATGCATTCGCAAACAAATGCTTTTGCCTAGCATGTCTGTGACCCTTCCATGCTCCCTCAAGACACTTGATACAGTCCTTGTGGAAAATAGCATGATCTGTCTCGCAGTGATGTTTAAGCTCTTTTTCATCCTTGGCCAAGCGGCTTGACTGATGGCCCTCACCTCACGTGATTTGGTCCATGCCCCGACGGTGCCCACTTTGCCAATTAACCTGATCCCTCAGACCTTGGTTGGAGGCTGCCACGGCTCTGCCGCGAAGTAAGCTCAATAGCAGGTTGAGCAGCGGAAGACTCCGTTTTGGGATTGTTGTGTCGTTGGTGGCTCCGTTTTGGGAGCGTTTTGCGCCGCTGACTCCTCCCTGAAAGGCATTTTGATGTTGCGGAGGGCTTTGTGGAGTTCCCAGCTGTTTGTCAAGATTGTTATTGGCTTCCGTCTGACAGTTCCTACGGCACCCTGGTCGAACTGCACAAACATGAACCCATGATCAAGCATGGACTGCATTTCAAGCAAAGACGGAACACGATTCAGGGTTTTGGCGCGCTTTGGGCAAGTACGAAGGTGGATCTGATGGACCTTCTAAACCAAACATGCAACCACCTGGTGACGCTTCATCTGCGAAAAGGTGCAAAGTAAGAGCGTGGTAAATGATAGTCGCGTCCTTATCCACGCAATGTCTCTCATCATTCTCAAAACCCTTGTGCCCGCAACGCTCGACCCTGTTCTAGTGCGCAGTGGCTTTGGACTTCCTTCAACTACTCTCACAAACGGCTAACTGTGCGACATGGAGCCTGCAAAAAGAGCCTTGACCTTCACCGATGCGCAAAGCTCAGCAAGATACGCACACATCGCCTCAGTGAGCAGATCCAGACCATCCAGCACATCAATAATATTCAAAACTTCCCATCCTGATGGAAGGTTGCCGAAGTCTTTTCAGTTGAGTTTTGCCTGAGCATGAATGCAGAACGATACCACATGCGTTGCTCAAGCGCCTGCGAGTGTGTCGGTTAAGCGGCACAGCATGAGAGCAGACTACCGAGTCAATTGCACTAGGAACGGCCTTGGCTAAGAGTGCGGAGGCTCCATTTGGGCTAAGTCTGCGCAGCCAATAGGTCAGCTCATGGTCGTTGCCCCACAAACCTTTGGAGTTTTCAACTGTCCACTCGCCCTCATACAGATGGGCCTGCAACCTCGCACCCCTACGCAATAACTCCTCACCGTGACGCTCAAGATCCATGATATGCTCCAAACATAAGTCTGCATCAACCGTTGGGCAAATTCCAATCAAAGACACACACAGGCAGCCTGCCCCGAGTTGGGTGTGCAATGCTGCATCCGCGAACCGACCATGCAACCCTGCATCCTCGTTTTGAAACCAGGGGTCCCGTGTATGTAGGCATGTCCAGGCATGTGTCCAAGTACTCCGTCGGGTCTGGGTGTTGGCAGGATGTTGCTTACATGTCGTCGCTTTCTAGTATGGTGCTTTGTCGTGTCAAGCAGAATCGCCCCTTCATCCCGGCACACCACCGCTTGCTCTGTCGGTTCTGCATAGCTACATCAGAATCAGTTGACGACCAACCAGGTTGGCACCACTTCGCCGAGGGCTGGAGCAGGCCAGTCATTTGTACGAGATTACGATCCAGCGGCCATAATGTTTCTGAGCTCTCGTGTCCTTCGATTCGGACCTTGTCTCTATGCTAGACTCAATGACTTTGTTATTTGTACTTGTGTTGAAGGGAGTTGTTTCATTGTCCCGTCCTCGTCTGCCCCGGTCTGATGACCCAACACGGATCGGACACGTGGCTACCACAGGATACGAGGAACCTAGATAAGGTAGGAGCAGCAGGAAAAGCAGAATAAGTAGAAGTAGGAAGCAGGAAGTCGCAAGAAGCAAATAGCAAGTAGGAAGTGGGAAGCAGAAATAGAAAGTCGGCAGAACAAGAAGTAGATGGTCGTCGTCATCGTCGTCGCAGCAGCAGTAACCGCAATAGCAGCAGCAGCAGCAAGGAGGTACCGCCTACTCCGGCAAGTGAAAGAATAGCTTTAGAGGTTTCAGGCTCCAGAGATCTTCCCTTCGTTGGAGGCATGCCGGCCAGTTTCGATTGGGGTGCAAGTTTAGCCGTGATGAACATCTGTTTATTATTCATTGTGGTTTGACGTGGCCAGAAAAGCTGATACACACGATAGGAACACCGCTCAGTTGCAACCCACGGGAATTGTCTACGGTCATGTAGGGCTCATTGAGATAGTCTTGTCTCTCACAAGTGTGCCTCCCGTGCTCTCTCTGTCGACTACGGGTGCAGGAGCGAAAGGAAGAACCATGTCAATCACACATGCTGGTCTCAGAGCTCTTGCGCCCAGGTCATGTTTTCAAGTCAAAGCACGCGTTGGCATCATCTAGCACATTTCGTGCATGTTTTGCATTACTGATCGCAGAAATCGTCTGAAGAGATGCGGCTGCTCACCAAGGCAGGTTGGTTTTGCAATTGGCTGTGCAGCAAGGATTGGCTTTCCTCAACTATTGCTTACGCAAGAATGTTTCGGCCGCAGGTCGTGGAACAGGCCCGAGATGTCCCAAGCACATCTTCCTCGATTGATCACCTGTCGAGAGCATGATGCTGATTTGATGTTTGAAGAAGAGATGGCACAAGGTCGACTCCAACACAGGCTTAAAGCAGCGGCTGGAGGTGCGCAGCGGCTTCCGGTGGAGGGTGCGATGTGTGAATTAACAAACCGACAGAAAGATCTCGAAAACATGCAAATGGTTTCGAATCGTGCTTTCACCATGCCAAAACAAATCTGCTCACAAAATATGTAAAGCAAGGTTGTGCGGGAAACTGAATGAGTGGCTGAGGCGCTGGAGGTCAGACTTGACAGGATGGGCCTTGACATGCCCGTCATGACCATAAGGTGGACATGTGTGGGATCGTCAAAGCGGGAAAGTTCAATGACAATTCCCGGATGCTTGTCAGGCCTCCTCCAGAGCGCACATCATATTTCCAAGCGTTGCAAGTCATGCTGGCGCTTATTGTCTCGATGGCAGCGAGAGCTCAGCAAGGTTTCTGTAAAGCCCGGTCGAAGGTGCAGCAAAGTGGACGGCGCTTGGCAAATGGATGTGAGGAGCTGCTTTCGCAACAAGTCTCTGACAATGTCAGCATCCACAGAATTTGAGTTATCTCGAACTCGCCGTTTGTGGCATAGCGCAGAAACGTCTTTGTTATGGTCAGCAGGTAGGACATGTCCGTGGCAACAAGGCTGTTCCAGTTCCAATGACAAGCATGTCAATGTATTGCGTGCTGGTGAAGCTAAGTTGATCATCGATAGCACAAGCACGTAAGGTTGATCCTACTTAGCCATGACGGACGGGTCAGCCATGGCGACTGCAATCCAGCTAGACGGAACATCCATGACAAAAATGAAGCCAGCCGCGGAGGTGCGACAACCTTCCTCCATTTTCTTGCCTTCTTGTGTTTTCAGAAGGAGCCTTCCTACAGCATGCCAGGTGCTGGTCGATGGTTGCACTAGCCACGAGCAGGCATTTTCTATGCAGGAAATGTTCGTGGACTGGTGACTCTGCAGAAACTCGACATGTCTGTCAGATGCGTGCAGCAAAAAGATCTTGCGCCTGTCTCACCGTGACCGTAGGCTGTAGGCTGGTCTAGCAGCATATCGCGGAGGGTAATGCAGCATGTCTTTTCGGAACGCAAAATCTAAGGTTCCCCAACGGTCTAAAGTTGATGTTCAAGATCAGGCCTCGAGCTCAGAAGCTTGAGGTCTCTGTGAATGAAAAAACTTTGGTGTCGAAGAGCATCTCCAAGCTCTTGGAGGAGGATGTCACAGGACTTTGGCCAACAGACAAAGCGAAGATCAAGGCTGAGATTCGCGGCTGGCTTGAGGACTCGCCCAAAGAGCTTCTTCAAAAAGCCACGTTGCGTGACCCTTCTGTGAGAGAAAAGACGGGGAGCAGCTGGTTTGAGATCATCGGCTCCATCACGGTCATTTTGTCGATCGGTGTTGGCATATACACGCTGACATACCTCATGGCACTAGGTCTGAAGTCAGGACCCAGGGAAGAGACTGAGCTTTTGGACAACTACGAGCTCTGAGAGGTGCACGGGCGCACTGTACAAAGAATGTGCCTGAATTCGTGCTGAGTACTGTTGAGCAGCCACGCTTGTCGAAAATGCTTTTGCAATGCAGCTTCGGTCGACTGACAGCTCCTGACTCCTTCGCTGCTGTCGTCATCTTTTGGCTTCAGGACGAAGCTCGTCAGGGCACCGTGCACCTCGTGGATCCCAAGCTAGTGGCTCAGTTTTTACGGCTTTGTAAGGCCTAAGACGAGATGCCTTGATGACTCCTGTGTCAAGGCCGCTGCTTCGTCGCATACCCTGAGCGGGCAAGCCAGTACCCATCTGCTTCACAGATGTTCAGAAAGATGTTTGTAAGATAACTGCATGCTCTCACTTGACGATGAATCGGTATCCAGTATTGTTTGCGGTGGCACTAGCGATGGGAGTTGCTCCTGTCGTTGTTTGTTGCTGGTTGTGGTGCTGGTGTGGTGCGCGGTGCTTGTAGTTTCAATGCTGCTAGTGCCTTTGCTGGTGCAGTCCCGCCGTGCTGCTGCTGCTGGTGATGCTGCTTGTGCTCTTGCTCGTGCAGCTGCTTTTGCTGCTGCCGCTGCTCTCGCTCGTGCTTCTGCTGCTGTGCTTGTCTTGCTGCTGCTAGCCTTAGAAACGAAGCTAGGAGCAGTGTCGCAGTGTTGTTGGTGGTGGTGGTGGTGGTGCTGCTGCTGCTGCTGCTGCTGCCGCCCGTGCTGCCGCCGCCGCCGCTGCTGCTGCCACTGGTGCTGCTGCTGCGACTGGTGCTGCTGCTGGTGCATGTGTTGGTGCTGCTGGTGCTGCTGGTGCTGCTGCTGGAAGTGCTGCTGCTGGTGCATGTGTTGGTCCTGCTGGTGCTGCTGGTGCTGCTGCTGGTGGTGCTGCTGCTGGTGCTGCTGGTGCTGTTGTGCTGCTGGTGGTGCTAGTGGTGGTGGTGGTGGTGGTGGTGGTGGTGGTGGCGGTTGCTGCTGCTGCTGATGCTGCTGGTG